AGAAGAAGAAGAAGAAGAAGAAGAAGAAGAAGAAGAAGAAGAAGAAGAAGAAGAAGAAGAAGAAGAAGAGAGCAAGAGATCATTAAAGATATTTATGAGTGTGTATACACAGAGACATGCATTCATTCCCTAGTTCTGTCTGCTGAGAGGTTTATGTACAATGACGCCCCAATAGAATGGAAATAATATGCTCAGACACCAGATATTAAAGACCATCCTCACTAAATGAAAATCACTATGTGGATCTTTGGAGAAATGGCTGATTTGGAGCAGAGAACATATAAAATAAGCCTAAGAAATCTTGATGTATTAAAAAAAGGAAATTCTCAGCAAAAGATAAGAGCATATCAAAAGAAGAGTGGTCATGGTTCTGTAGCAGCATTCTTGCCTAACATGTTCAAGGCCCTGAGTTCAATTCCCAGTCCCTCATGGACACACAAACAGAAAGGACATGAATATGTCAAAACACCATTGGCACTAACATGAATGAACTCCCCCCACTGATCAAACCTGAGAAAACATTAGAATAAAAGTTTACAATCCATTAAGATAAAAAAAAAATCAATGAATTCACACAGAAGGAGGAAGGAAGGACGGAAAAGAGTGTTCTTTCTAATGCAGTAAGCGCTGTAAGGGTGTGGGGATGTTAATAACAACAAGACATTAGTGTCCTGTCACATTCTGTCCCCTGAATATAAATAAAAACACAAAAGGCAAACTGACTTTACAGAGGAGAAACCTGTAAAGCAACTTAGCTATAATCATGTGACCAAACACCTTCAATAGCCAGCATCACGTGACTCAGAGAATCAAGCACAACATCATGCCATCGGCATACCTGCCATTGCATGGCCTGAGTCTGATCACAGGACCCAGTGGATAGACCCAGATTATTATTAATTTCTAGCACAAAAAACTGCTGAGAACATGATAGACAGGAAAAAAAACAGAGCTATTCCAAAACGAAAGCCATCAATGAGACATGTGAAATAAAAGCGCTGTGTGTTTCCAGGGAGAATTCCAGACTAGAATGGAAAAGCCATTGAGACAGCAAAATTTAAACTATCAGTGAAATAAACAGAAGTGTTGCATCAGAGTTTGTTTTCTGAATGGAAGAAACTCACTGTGGTAATACAGAAAAGCCTGGGACGGGCTGTGCTTGTTATTTTCTGGTGGTGGTGGGGTTGATATATACTGTAGTATTTAAGATGGGGAAGATAAAAAAGAGAAAGAAATGGGGCAACTGTGACATAATGTTAAAAACTGCAGAAGGGCATGCAAGAGTTCTTTTCAGTGTTCTTGCAACTGCAGATTTGAAACTGCTTCAGAATTTTAGATGGACATTACAGCACAGACCTCTAGTCTTGGCTACC